GGCCATACCCCACTGTGTGTGTGTTGAGGGGAACTTGTGCTCAAGGGCGCAGTTTCTGTCTCGCACTGGTGACCACGTGTACCCTCTGGCAATTAAAAATAAATAAGAATGGCATTTAAAAGGAGATTGGGAGGGTCTAAATACTTCATACGCTTCTACCCTATTTTCCTTCCAAGTTTTGCATAGAAGATGTGAAGCTACTTCATGTTCTGATAAAAACTTCTCCCTTAAAGATGGTGTACTGACTACTAGGGTTTGTTTACTTGTGCCGGTTTTTTGCCTTCTACTAGGTACAGAAGTTCAAGGGTGGAACTTTAAATCATCAGAAGGCTTTGGAACATTTCGGAGCATGTTTTCCAAGCTTTTTATCTCAACATCAAAGCAGTGATTGTTTGCCTCACATACTTATGTTTGAGAGAAATCTTATCCTTTGATATGTTGAGATTTGTGCCCTCAACACTGAAATAAATGAAAGTTATTAAATTAGTACTGACATTGAGAATCATTACCAGAGTTAGTGGTAGTACTACCTCAGTAGTGCTAGTTTGAAATAGCCCTACAGTCTCAGTTTCAGCTGTGTCACTTGGACAAATAATTTTTTTTTAAAGAATTATTTATTTCATTCCATTTGTTATTGTTATTGTTATTTTATTATTTTTTTATTTGACCACCAGAGAGAGAGAGAGAAAGGGAAAGCAAGAAAGCAAGCCACCAGGTCTGGGACTTGAACCATGGTCAGTCATGTGGGAATCCAGTGCTCTTATCCACCACACCGTCTGCTGGCCCCATGGACAAATAATTTTTTAAAAATTTGCCATAGGGCTCATGTGCTCACCCGAGGGGACAGAGGGACAGAAGGATGGAGGTAGGGAGGGAAAGTGAGAAGGCACCTCCCCTCCTCCTCCAGGGAGATGACCACACCACAGTCCCTTCTTCTCCATTCTCTTTTTGGAATTTGGAGGCACACACCCACACATGCCTGGCATGTTTTCTAAGCTGTGGGAGGCTGCAGTTCACATGGCATGATTGATCACGTGGGATCTGACTCCCTTAACCACTAGGCCAGCGCTGTAGAATATTTAAAATGTATAAGATATTTTTGGAAACAGACACCATAGCCTAGAACTGGAACTTCAAAGAGTCATCCCCCTGTTCCTTTTCTTCATTGGTGATCTGCCCTCCGGATATCTCTACTGAACCTTCTAACTGCAGTCAGAGCTGCCGCCCTAGAACTTAGCCGCCAGGAAAAGGGGGCCAGGACTTCGGGTGTGATTCCCATTCCTCTGCTGTTCAGTCTGCCTACTGTGGTCTCTGACATTGCTTACCAGGGCAGCTTTACTCTGTACTGCTGTGTTTTCTGTCTGAGAGACTTAATTGCTCTCTTACTGTAAAGGTAGAGAGAGAGAGATCTCTGACTGGTAGTTACAGTTCTCTGCTTAGGAGATGAAGCTGTTTTTCCCCTTCCTAACAAGGACAGCTAAGGTCACTGTTATCTTGGTTAGTCTCAGGCCCAGGGGTGAAGCTTGGCCTCATTCGAGCTTGTTGCCCTTTTTGTTCCTTGGTATTTGGTGACCTGTCTAGTATTTGGAGCAGAGGCTAAGCTTTTTCTGCTTAAATAATAGAGGAAAAATTATACCCCCCCTCCCCCCCACACACATTTTGGCTCTTTGTTGCTAATAAAAGCAGTTGTTTTTGTTTTTGTTTTAGAGAGATATTTTTGCTATAGGGCAGAAAGACAGCAAGAAATCACCCCCTTGGGATGACCACCCCGCAATCCCTTCTCCTCTATTCTCACATGGGCCAACATGCACACACACCCAGCATGAGTTTTAAGCCACTGGGTCCAGGACTCATAAACTGGGGTCGCCCATGGGAGTCCAGTGATGTAGCTATTACACCATCTTCTTGTCCCCAAAACAGTTTTTTGAGGAATATTTCTCTCAAGTATTTGAGTAATTCATTGAATATTGAAGTGCACTGTTTAAAAAGTTAGAAAGACATGAGATCATCAGACCGACCATAACCTAGAGCTCTAGGGAGCCAGATCCCACATGGCTGACCATGGTTTGAGTCCTGGTGCCAGTGGCTTGACAAGCACATCAGGTGTGTGTGTGTGTGCTTGCGTGATAGTGTTTGTTTGCCCCAGATCCCAAGGTGATGGAGAAAGGGAAGAGAAGGAATTTTGACAGGACCACACTTCATGGGAGGGGGTGATTTCTCCCTCTCTCTCTCTGGCAAATGGACATACTCTCTGGCAATTAAAAAAAAGACATGAGTACTATTACCCTATTGATGTGAATTGAAAAGGGTCGAGGACTACATTTTTTTTTCCCTTGGGGAATAGTACATGATGAGTAATGGAAAAAGAAAAATTTTAATTAGAATTTGGATATCTCTGTTCCTATTTTCATTAAGCCAGTATCTCATTTTCTTTCTTTGTTCACTAATTCAGTGAGCAAAAGAAACAGAGATGGAGGAGGTAGGAGGACAGAGAGACAGGTCCCTCCCATGGTCCTGACCCCGTGATCTCCTCCTAGCCTCAGGCAGCTCCCTGTGAGTGCCTAGCATGCTTACGGAGATTCTGGACGCTAGCCCATAGCCCTCCTGCATGGGTCTGCCTCTCTGAGCTTGTATTTTACCACTGCATCACCATCTGACCCCACAGCCAGTATTCTAGCTGGAAAAGGAGACTAACAAAAGGCCGTATTATTTGTTCATTTAGAGGATTTGCCTTAGAGCACATAGGGGAGAAAGTGAGAGGGAAAGTGAGAAATCACCTCAGGGGGAGAAAGAGACACAGACAGTGAAAGGAAAAGTGAGAAATCACCCCCCAGGGGGATGGTGACACCATAGTCCCTTCTGTATTCTCCTCCTGGGATCTCAGGCATACATCCACAGGCGCCCGGCTTAATTTTCAAGCCACTGGGTCCAAGACTCACACCATGGTTGACCATGGGAGAGTCCATTGACGTAACTGTTCTTTGTCCTCAAGGCACATACTGTTTAAATGATGAATTTCCAGTTTTGATAGACACATTGTTTATGGATATCTTCTAAGGAAATGTAAATATTAGAACCAGCATTGTTGTCCCAGAGATGTTATCAGGTACTACAAGTTTTTAGAGTACGCTGCTTCTGCTCAGCTTTATTTAAGATTGTATCTACTCTGAGCCTTATTTAGTAGGCACTTTAGAGTTCAGTGTCTTAGAGGATTGTTAATTTCAGAGTTTTATTTGTGGTGTTTTTCCTTTTTTCTTTTTTTTAATAGAGGCTGAGGGTTGACAGGAGGGAGGGAGGAAGGGAGGGAAAGATAAATGTTTATCTGGCATAGTCTCACCGCATTGTCACTCCCTGTCTTGGCCTCCCTGTTAGCTAGGCCCACAGGTGTGGGTTACAGTACCCATCCTGTTTAGGTTGGGCTGGGAACCAAATCCGGGCCTCCCAAGTGGCCTCAGCCATCAGGCAGAGCTTCCCTTACTTGCACCACCATAGCAGGGCCTGGAGTCTTCAGAAATGCACAAGCTAGTGAGAAACAGATAGGGTTTATTAACTGTTGATGATGACATGTATAGAATTCTCAACTGGATTGGTCTGAGAAGTGTTTCATGACGGGCAATGTATTTTTACAAGCAAAACGAGAAAGAGCAATTGACTGTTTTATAAAAATAATTAGAATAATAAAGATAATGATTGGGGAAAACAGAAAAGATATGGAATGTTGAAGTGGGGAGATTAATGTCTCTGTACTGACTGACGTGCATGGCATTCCCTTTTGAAGAAACAATGTAATACACTGTAAAGAGAAAATAAACGAACCATACAGAAAATAAAAAAAAAATAAAATAAAAAAAATAAATAAAAGAAATGCACAAGTAAGGCTTAAGTTTTTTAAACAGTTTTTGATTAGCTTATTTAACAGGTTAATTTAGATCCGGCACCAAGCCCAGATCTGAGGGCTGAGAAGCTCAGTCATTTGCTGACTATATGGAAACTAGTTCTATTGTTGCCTTGTTTGCTTTGCGGGTTACCTTAAAGAACTGAGGTAGAACTCACGTGGTCCAGTCACGTGTGTTCTGAGCAGTGGTCATGCCACACTGCCTAGCATCAGGCATAAGTTTCAGCTCTACCATGACTTGATTTTTACAGACTGACTTTTTAGAATAACTTAATCTGAGGTAGGGGAGGGAAGGACTAAGTTCCCTGCCCATGGTAATTCATTTTGAGAATGTGTTTCTTTTCTAATTCTTTTTTGTTTTTGCTAGAGGGCTTGTATACTCTCCAGAGAGAGAGGAGAAGAGAAAGCAACACCACCGCCCCCATGGGTCGTGCTGCAATCCCTTCTCCATTTCTCTATCCTGTCTGGATTTCCGACACACATCATATGTGCCTGATGTGTTTCTCAAGCCACTGAGTCTGGGACTCCAACCACACTTTTGGCTGTGTGGGATACAGCTGTAACGAGACAAAAAGGGGACAAAACCCAAGATGGGTGACTTCCTGTAACTTTCCTTTTAGTGTTTTTTTGCTTCTCCTTTTTTCTTTGGATCCTTGAAAATACCCAGGGGATAGAATGTTAATTTTGAAATTATTTTTGTTTGAAACTGGAATCACAGCAGTTTTTATGACATTTTCTTTTATATTACTTGGAGGAGAGGAAGGCAATCTTTTTGAGATTCTTAGAGAAAGCAAATGACAGAATTTCACAACTAAATTTTATTTTTACGAGGCCTGCTTTATTAAATTAGTGTTGGTTCCACATCCATGCAGTCAGTTATGTGAAACGATGTATTACAGCTCAGCCATCACAGTGCAATGACTTCTCTGATTAATAAGTTAATTAAAATAGAGAATTGATGCCTTCAAATGTTTTCCTGTATATCAGTTATTTGAACATAATTGCCCTCTTATTTTCAGATACTCTTGAAATAAAAAGGAAAGTTGTGAGATTTGTATTTGAAGTAACTCAGTTACACTTACATTCTCTCACCATCTGTTGGCAGGACTTTGTGTCCTTGTATCAGGATTTTGAAAACTTCTATACGAGGAACCTCTACATGAGAATACGAGACAACTGGAATCGTCCCATCTGCAGCGTGCCTGGGGCCAAAGTGGACATCATGGAGAGGCAGTCTCATGACTATAACTGGTCGTTCAAGTGAGTCTCAGTTGGGAAATTACTTCTTGACCACCACAAAGGAATTTATTCATTTGCGTAAATATTTATGGTAAATGGAGTATTGTCTCAGAACAGAAGCAGCGAAGGATATGATGCAGGATGATTCCTTTCCTTTCATGTTGTTCATTATTATTGAGGTTTTTTGGTTTTTTTTGGGGGGGGTAAAGAAGTAATATATTTAACTTTATTTATGTAAATTTGACCAGAGAGGAACAGAGCGAGAGAGAAAGAGAGAGAAGACAAGAAAGCAAGCCATGAGGTCTTATTTAAAAAAAAGAATTTGGAAATAAAGGTGGCATGGCAGTTAAGGCACTGGACTTCCACATGGCCAGCCATGGTTCAAGTTCCAGATCATGTTGCTTGCTTTCTCACTTTCGCTGTCCCTCTAATGAGCATGTGTACCCTGTAGCAAATTTTAAAAATAATGATAATAAATAAAATTAAGTAAGTCTTAAAAATTTTTTTTGAAAAGAAAGAAAAACTATGCTTTGTATTATGCCATTTACCAGAATCAGGTACTATATATCTGAATTTATTTCTTGATATTTTGGTTTCTCAGATGATTTAAAGATACATGGGATAGTTTTACTTGAGTGGATTAAATGGTTAAGACTATTATCTATCCTGGACCCAGTCCCTTGAAAATCATGCTGGGCGTGTGTGTGTGTGTGTGTGTGTGTGTGTGTGCCCCAAAATCCCAGGAGGAGAATGGAGAAGGGATTGTGGCATGGCCATCCTCCTTGGGGGTGATTTCTCACTTGTCCTCTTACTGTCTCTCTCTAGCAAGCACATGCACCCTATGGCAAAAAACTTTAAAAAAAAACAAATGACAGTAAGTGAAGTTGTATTGTTTTAACTTCCACTTCCCTAATTGTTAATGAGTTCAAACTTTACATATAGACCATATTCTTTCTAGCTCCTGTGTATGGTGCTTTTTTTTTGTATCACGTGTGCATTTACGATATTATATTTATTTGAATTCCTTATGAGCTTTATTATTTTTATGCTATCAAAACGCAGGTATACAGGGAATATAATTAAAGGTGTTATAAACATGGGTTCCTATAACTACCTGGGATTTGCACGGAATGATGGATCATGTCAGGAAGCAGCCGCCAGAGTCCTAGAGAAGTACGGTGTTGGCGTGTGCAGCACTCGGCAGGAAATTGGTGAGTGTGAGCTGGGCTGGGCTACCTGCTGCTTTTGTTGTGTTTTGATTTTAAGAATTATTTTAAACTTTATTGTATTTATTTATTTTAATTTGACTGAAGAGGGACAGAAAAAGAGGGAGAGAAAGCAAGCCATCAGGTCCAGGACTCAAACCACAGTCGGAGTGGGAGTCCAGCACCCTTAACTACCACGCCACCTATAGGCTCCTGCCAGCTGCTGTTTTTTTTTTTTTTTCCCCAACAATAAACTGATATTTATTTTACTTGAGGATGATGGAAATTTCCAAAAAAACGTTGATTATGAGAGGGTCAAATGTCACACACTGATATATTTTGTATGCCAACTAGTAGAGTCCTAAAAAATTAGCATTTACAAAATACTTGGTAAAAATAGCTTTTAAAAGTTGTCCCAAGAGGTATATAAAATCAATCCAAATTTTTCATGACAATTCATTTTCCTCGTTATTTACTGATTCAGTTTTCTGTGCCTCTTCAGCTTTAGTTTCCCCATTTTCAGATGATGCAGTAGCTTTTTTCCAGCTTCCTGCCTTTCCCCCTTCTTCCCTTTAGCACCTCTGTTAATCTTTGTTCCAGATTCTTTCTTAGCAGGTGTTTTTCTTGGTTCAGGTTCAGGTTTGGGTGGCGCAGGTTTCACCGACAATCTGGCAGATCATCTCGTAGGCTCCTGTTTAGTTACTTGGCATCCGCCTTTGCCCTCTGCATTCTCTGGAGACTTTCTCTTCGGCGTAATGACTGTGAGTGCAGCAAAAAGTAAAGCTTCGGGCTGGAACTGGTGGCACTGCCGCTGGGGGCTGCCTCCGCCGCTGCAGCTGCTCACGCGCAGGGCACAGTGTCGCCCGGCCTCTCCGACCTCGCCAGCTGCTGTTTTCAACATTTTTATTCAGAAGCAAATAATACTTACATAGAGCTAGAGTATTAAGTATCCAAATACTTACTTTGCCATGCAGTTTAGATTCGGTAAAAAATGCATCCTTTTTTCTGAAGTGATGGGTGGCTTTAATGCTTTTAATACATTTTGAGATATATTTGTCTTTTCAGTATGTTATACATCTAGAATGTTCCTTGAAAAGTTCTGTATTTGTTTCATTTATTGCTTTAATGTTAATTTTACTGGATTTTGCAAATGATAGTGGTTAATAGTGACACAATCATATGAGCGTATGAGGATTAATCCATTTTTATACGATAAATTGGGGTTAATAATAATTCCTGCCTTGGGGCCAGTAGGTGGCATGGTGGTTAAGGTGCTGGACTCCCACATGGCCGACAGCAGTTCAAGTCTCGGACCTAGCAGCTTGCTTTCTCACTTTCCCCTTCTCTCACTTTCTCTCTCTGTCTCTTTGGTCAAATTAAAAATAATAATAACAACAAATAAAGAAATAATTTTAAAAAATAATAATTCCTGCCTTACAGAACTGTTTCAAGAATTAAATTAGCTGATTTATGTAAAGACTAAGAACACAGTAGACACTCAATACTCTTTTTATTATTGTTACAAATCTATAAAATATAAAGTGTTAACAGTTTTATATAAAAAGATTTAGTTTGGTTTAAAGGAAAAACTCAATTTTTAAAATTTTGTTCCAAAGAACTGATAACTATGGAAGGTATAAGATAACATTTTTACTGTGAATCACTCCAAAATTTAGTGAATTAAAACAATAATTTATTATTATTTCTTACAGGCAGAGTAGGTGGTTCTTTTACAGGGTCTCATCATTTCAGTCAGTGGGGACTGTATGGCTGGAGTTATGAAGACGTCTTCGTCCACATGTTCCTAGCCTGGGATGTCTGAGACTCTGTGTGGCCTTTCCACGTTAGGAACTTGGGCTTCTTTACCACATGATGGTCACAAAGAGTCACTTGTCTTAGATGGAAGAAGGCTTTCCCCATAGCAAGTATTCAAAGATACCTTATTGAAAGCCGGAAGACTTTATACCCTGACCTTGTAGGTCCAAAAAAATCATTGATGCCTCTTTCTACTGCTCATAGCAAGTCACTACAGCCACCCCAGGTTCGAGGGTTATGGAGATTAGACTCCCATCTCTCTCTCAATGAGAAGAATAACAGAGAATTTGCATCCATATTTGAAATACCACAACAGCTTTGTCAACTCACTGTTTAAAACAAAGTGAAAAGGTGAAAACAAAAATGCACAGCTTTTCATATTCTATAGTTTTTAAATTTAAGTTGGACTTTTCAACCCAAATATACAAATTACAGATTTTAAAGACTTTAAGGTTCTATTGTTAATAAAGTTAGCACCCTCCTTTTTATTTTTTTAATTGCCAAAATGCATGTGCACTCTCCAGAGAGAAAGAGAGAAGAAGGGAAGAAAGCATTCCTCAGTGGGATGTGGTCATGTCACAATCCCTTCTGCTTCATTTCTTTCTCATAGCAGAATTTGGGGGTATGCCTGGCATGTTTTTTAAGCTTAGGTGCTAGGAAACAAATCATGATCAACATGTAGGATCCAGCTCTTTTAACCACTGTGCTACTCTGCTGGGCCCAACCATGATTTCTTTTTATAAAGTGATAAGTAATTTTTTTTTTCTCCCTTTGCTAGAGGGGAGGTAGACTTGCTAGGGGCAGGAGTACAAAAGCACCCTACGTGGGGTGGTCACATCACAACCTCTTTTTTTCCACGTCTCCATTCAGGATTTTGGGCACACACACACCCAATATATTTTTCAAGCTGCCATATCTGGGACTCAAACTGCACAGTTGGCCATATGGAATCCAACTACCATAACCACCATGCCACCAGCTGGTCCAATGAGTAATTCTTTTTTTTTTTAATATTTGTTTTAACTTTATTTTATTGATTGATTGATTGTAATTTGACTAGAGAGAGATAGAGTGAGAGATAGAGTGAGAGAGAGAGGAAATTTGGGAAAAGAAGCTGCAAAACCTGGGACTTGAACCAGTAAGCCCTGTAGGGTCCAGCGCCCTTAACCACCACACCACCTGACAGCCCCCAATGAGTAATTCAGGACTTTGTTATACCGACTTTGTTACTTCTTCACACAGGAAACCTGGACAAGCATGAAGAACTAGAGAAGCTTGTAGCGGATTTCTTGGGAGTAGAAGCTGCTATGACATATGGCATGGGATTTGCAACAATTTTTTCGATGAACATTCGTGCTCTTGTTGGCAAAGTAAGGCATTATGTCTTCTATGAAAACTCTCTCATACTTACCCTCTTTCGTTCTGAAGCAAGCCAAAGACTATTGTAAACTTGAGATTAAATGTAGTTTACCCAAAGATTTTCTGTCACAAATTTTTGGATAAGTGCGTCCCATGGAGACTTACATCAGGTGGAGCTTTCTTGCTAGAACCCTTGATCCTTCCATTGGATGTCTCTTGCCTTTTTTATTTCATGCAGAGTTTGAGAAATTCTGATAAAAACTTACAGAAGACTAAAACTGTGAAAAAAAGAAGGTTTGGTTTGAAAAGTTATGTAACAGATGTTTTTTTTAAGTAGAAAACTGGAAATACATAGTCACCCTAATACGTGTTCTTACTCCGTTGCATGTTGCTTAGATATGAAAAAGTAAATTACACACACACATGCACACACACACATACATGCTTCTCGTGGGGGTAGAGCTCACAAGGGATAATTGAAAAGAGGGGCATAAGAGACTTTGTAAATTATATTTTAGCATCTTGGCACTGTCAGTTTCTGTTCCCATTGATATCTAGGAATGGCATATTGAAAAAGTAGTGAGGGGCCAGCAGTCATGTGGTTGTTAAGGCTGTGGGTCCTACATGACCAACTGTGCTGTGTGAGTCTTAGACATGGAGGCTTGAAAAAAATCACTGGACACATGCATGCATGCCCAAATAGAGAAGGAATCTCTCTGGCAAGTGCACACACCCTATAGCAAAAACTAAAAAAAAGAAAGAAAGAAAGAAAGAAAAAGTAGTGAGTTAACTCAAGCAAAAGATTTGAATTTTTGCTTGCTGTGTTGATTGGTTATCTGGTCACATGGTGTGGTCATCCCCCCAGCGAGTAATTTCTCACTTTCTCTCTCTCTCTCTCTCTCTCTCTCTCTCTGGTGAACACATGCACCCTGTAGCAAAAACTACAAATAAATAAATACATAAATAAAATGAAAGGATGGGAAAAGATATAGCATGCAAATAATAATCAAAGCTATTTGAAGCAATTATATTAATAAAAGAAAAGATTTCAGGCCAAGGATAAAGAGAAACACTACATAATGATAAAGGTTTTCAATTATCAAGAGAATATAATTTTATTTTTTAAAGGATTATTTATTTAATTTAATTAATTAATTTATTTTTAATTTGACCAGAGAGAGAGAGAGAAACACAGAGCAGGAAAGTGAGAAAGTAAATCACCAGGTCTGGAATTCAAAACACAGTCAACCATGTGGGAGTCCAACTCCTCAACCGCCATGCCACTTGCCAGCCCCAGAGAATATAATTTTTTTTTTTTTAAGAGAGATTTTTAGTACAGGGCATGTGCACTCAACGGAGAGACAGAGAAACAAAAAGCAAGAAATCACGCCGCAATCTCCTCCTCCATTCTTCTCTCAGAATTTTGTGTATGTATGCACACGTGCCCGGCATGAGTTTGAAGCCACCTGGTCCAGGACTCAAACCATGGTCAACTACATGTGAGTATAGTGATGCGACCATTATGCCATCTGTTAGTCCTCAGAGAACATAATTTTTTTTTTTTTTGGAGAGGTTTTTGCTATAGGGCGCCGGCGCTCACCAGAAAGCAGAGAGATAGAAAGTGAGAAATCACCCCCCAGGGGAGATGGCCACGCCGCAATCCCTTCTCCTCCATTCTCCTCTCAGGATCTTGGGCACGCACGCACACGTACCCGGTGTGAGTTCAAGCCACCAGGTCCAGGACTCAAACCATGGTTGACTACGTTGGAGTCCAGCGACGTAGCCATTATGCTAACTGCTGGTCCCAAGAGAACATAATTTTAATTGTATAGGCTCTGAATAACAAAGCTTCAAAGTACATGAAGCAAAAATTGATAAAACTGAAAGGAGCAGTAGACAAACAGAATTATAATTGGTGTTGATGTCACCCCTTTTCACCTGATAGAACTAAACAGAAAATGAGCAAGAGTATAGAACATTTTAGGAACACTGTCAACCAGTAGACTAATTGACATTATGAAACAACCCAGCAAAACATTTACCAAAATAGACTATATTCTACGATTAAACAAGTTTTTAGAAATGTAAAAGTATTGGGACCAGCAGTTGGTGTAATGGCTATGTTGCTGGACTCCCATGTAGTTGACTGCAGTTTGAGTCCTGGACCTGGTGGCTTAAACTCATGCCAGGTGTGTGTGTATGCATGCCCAAGATACCAAGAAGAGAATGGAGGAGAAGGGATTGCAGCGTGGTCAACCCCCTGCGGGGGGGGGGGCGGTGATTTCTTGCTTTCTGTCTCTTTCTGGCAAGTGCACGCACCCTATAGCAAAAACCTCTCAAAAAAAAAAATAATAATAAAGAAACGTAAAAGTATTAAAGTATGTTCTGTGACCACAGTACAGTTAAATTAGAAATCATTAACACAAAAATCTCTGGAAAATCCTTGAATATTTAAAAATTAAACTACAAACTTCTAAATAACCCAAAGAAGAAGAAACAAGAGAGAAAAGAAAATACTTTGAACTAAATGGAAATGTCATAATCACAATTTGTAGGATAGCGCTAAGCGAGGTTCAGATGGAAGTGGCATCTTGGGCACTCGTGTGCGTGCCAAGCACGAGTTTCAGGCTGACCAAGCAGGGGTTTTATCTGTGGTTGCCATGTGGTCTTGCCCTTCTCTTGAGCAGCGCATTACCCGTGAGCTATGGAGCTGGCCCAGATTATTTTACATCCAAACTAAGTGGAAGGAAGAATATAATAAAGACATGCAGAAATGGGTGAATTACAAAATAGACAGTAGGGGGAGTCAGCGAAACCGAAGCTGATTCTTTGAGAAAATTAATAAAATGGATAAATCCCTAGCCACACAGGTCAGTATAAAAAGAAAGAAGACACAAATGATAAATAGCAGGATTTAGAGAAGGGATATCCCTACATATCCTTACGGACATTAACGGATAATGAGGGAATATTAAGAACAGCTTTCTGCCAGTGAAATCAACAACTTAAAATTGGCAAATTTGGACCAGCAGTTAGCGCAATGGCTATGTTGCTGGACTCCCATATATTCGATCGCGGTTCGAGTCCCAGACCCGGTGGCTTAAACTCACGCCGGGCATGTGTGCGTGAATAGAGGAGAAGGGATTGCGACTTGGCCATCCCCCCCGGGGGGTGATTTCTCACTTTCTGTCTCTGTCTGTCTCTGTCTTTCTGTAGAGTGCACGTGCCCTATAGTAAAAAAACTCTCAAAAAAAAAAAAAAAAACCTGGCAAATTTGAAAGACATAAATGTATGGTTGTTTGATTTTACATTGATTATAATAAGTCATTGTCTTTCCTACATTTTATTAGTATAAAACAGATTTATTTGGAATTTCTTAGCAGTTTTCACGCTAGGTCATTAAATAATCTTATCTTTTTCCTGTATATGCACAAACTTTAAAAAATTATTATCTAGAATTAGACTTCTCCTATATAATTGCAGAAGCAACTATGTTAGACATTTATCTTTCAAATGAAACATTATCATTGAAATGTTATCATTTAATCTGTTAAAAGCCACAGCTAATCCAGTTTACTTAAGTCTTTGAATCTGTTACTAAATTTCTATATGAGGAGGTTGATTGTTAAGCTTAAAGGCAGAGAAAAGTTGATACTGCTGACGAGCATATGTTCTGGAAGCAGAAGCTTTGTATTGAGCCACTCACTTGTGATCGTGCTTAGGACCTTGAGCAAGATTTTCAACTGCTGAACAAGTTTCCTCTATAAAATGAGGATGGTAATAGTAACTACTTTGTAGGATTGTTGTATGGATTTAAAGTAATGTATTAATATTGAAACCTCTTAACGTAATGCCTGAAACACATTAAGCACTTAAATGTCAACTGCTGGTAGTTAGTACTTATTTTAAGAACCAAGGACATAGTAGGGCCTCAGAGTAGATTTAGAAGAAAACACGAGATTGTTATGTAGCAATAGTGAATGAGGCTATCCGAAAGATAAAATAAAAGAAGAGGTGATAAAAGAACAGTGAGAGCCATCAGGTGGCATGGTGATTGAGAGCGCAGGACTCCCACATGACTGACCAAGGTTTGAGTGCCGGACCTGGCAGCTTGCTTTCCCACTTCCCATTCTCTCTCTCACTCCGTCTCTCTCTGGTCAAATTAAAATAAATAAGTAAATACAGTTAAATAAAATGATTCTAGTGAAAAAAAAAGAGAAGAAGAAGAACAAGAACCATGATATTATAGAGTTTGTCTAAAGCAAGTTTGGAAAGAGAAGAAAATAAAATGGTG